AGTTAAACTTCAAAATTAACAATTACTACCTGATAATTACTTAATAAGGTAAAACCAAAAAGCCCAAACTTTCTGTATGATTATTTTTAAATTTCACGTATGTTATGTTTATTTATGTAATGTTCTTTAAAATCAAAGAAGCGATTGCCATACATTACTAACATCTACAGATGCATGAGCAATACATTTATTTTTATTAGATTGAATTAAAAAAGCCTCTTTTATTTTTCTTTTAGAGGCTATCGCTTCTTTCATTATATTTTTGGCGTTATTAAAATTTATTCTGTACCCTGTGTCCCATGAATGCTGACAAATCTTAGATTTGTGAAAATCTCCCTTTCTTAAATAATCTTTATGTTCTTTAATTCTAACATTTAAGGATCTATAGTCTGTCCAACGAGAAGACCCTTGACAGTGATAGATGTGTCTGTCATTTTAATTTCAAAGTAGTTTATTTTATTTTACAAAGAAATAAGTTGGTACAACTGGAACGCATAGCAGATATCTGTGGCGATATATTTAAAATTTGATTGACAAGATGACAAGTGATTACTTCAAAATTGTATAAAACTGAAAAAATGTAATCGAGTTATTTTATTTAATAAAAACGGTATGTGTTAATACAAAACAAACAAGAACAAGGCACTACATACCAAAAAAATATAAAAAATAACTATTATTTACTTTCAAGCTTTATGAAACTACCCGCATTTATGATTATATTTATCAATATAACTTATGTACAAATACAAATTTGTAATATTCCACAGGTATAAATAAAACAACATAGGTAAATACAACAACTATTTTATTAATAATAACACCTACCAAATTTTATACCTTAAAGGTGGATTAATTACCTTTAATCTTAATTTTTTTAAACCAGTACCTTTTGACATTATTTTTCTGCACCAGTACTAAAATCCATTATTTACCTATCGTGTGATGTCGATATTTTACAGCTACTCCAGTTTTTAGTATGTGTTTAGTTTGATCCTTATATACGAAATGCACTTATCTACGACGAAATGGTATACAAACTTTATCGATGGCAACTTCATTGGTGTATAAGACTTTCTGCCTGGGCAGCGTGTATTAACCATAAACTGTGCTCTGGGCCTACAGTTAATTTTCACTCGATTTTTCCTCCACTTGACTTCAAAAGACACAAAACACACGTAATAATACGAATCAAAATGCATCATCTTTCAAAATGCAGGGTATTTAACAAAAGTTGACACAAAATTATAACCAATAATTTGGCAAGACTTTGACAAGCGTCAAAAATGACAAAAATCTAAAGGCGAGTTCATACGCATCGGCGTCCGTTTGTCGTTCATCGTTCCGTCAAACCAATAAAATTGAAATACGATCTGTCATTTTTTAAATAAACCAATAAAACTGGTTAAAAACAACAAGACACGACGTATGACGGATTTATATTTAAACCCATCCATAGATAACTTAAAAATTATTAGAAACATTTTTTAGTAAAATAAATAGATTGGTATGGGACGTCATCTGCTTTTCTTCTGTCATCGTCTGTCGAAATCTTACCTGAGAAAAAAAACAGAGTATAGATGTTTCACCAATGTAAAATTTATCGCATTCACAGGGTATTTGGTATATTACATTTTTTGTTTGTTGTTCTGTATTCATTGGTTTAGTATGTGATGAAATTGATCTAAGTGTATTTTGTGTTTTGAAAGTTGTTTGTATGTTATATTGTTTTCCTATCCTTCTTATTTTTTTCCGAAACGCCTCGTATATATGGAATTGTAAGTTGTATATATTGTGTATTGTTATCTTTGTGTCTATGCTTTGGGGTTTATATTTCGTTTAATGTTTTGTCAATAAAATATGGTGGATAGTCGTTTTTTATTAATGTATTTTTTATGTGGTTTATATCTTTGTTTAGTGAAATGTCGTCTGTACATATTATTTTTGCCCTATCATATAAACTTTTTATAACACCTTTTTTACACTTATACTGTGATTAGATGTGAAATTTAAGTATCTATCTGTGTTTGTGGGTTTTCTGTAAACATCTAAAATTAGTTTATTTTGAAATTTTGACACTAAAACATCAAGAAATGGCAAACGATTACCTCTCTCTACTTCTAAAGTAAATTTTATGGTAGGTTCGCCAGAATTTATATATTCCAAACAAATGAGCCCAGGGGGGCCTAGGGCTTTTGTTTTTTTTAAAAATTAAAAATAATTTTAAAAAACACATTTTTTGAATAAAACGTTTACATGAATTTCTCTATCAATAAATTTCCTAGACTTGGTTATCAAGCCGTGTTTCCGTAGATTACTTAAATACCTAAAAATTTTCTAAAAAAATAAAAATTAACACATTTTTTGAACACAACAAAATACTAAACAAAACTAGAAATTTTTACTGCATCACAAGCAAATAAAAATTACCTAATACGTAGCCAAGAGTCATAATTCAGGATTTCTCTGGGGGGTGCCCAGCAGTGTCTGGGGGAAGGGGGGGGAGGGCACCCCCGGGCACCCCTGTAGTTACGCCAACGGCTCTCTTCTGGAGCTTGAAAATGCGGTCAAATTGAGTCGCACAACACGTACCCCAGAATGGAAGGGCATATCTGAGGTGCGTATTATACTGGATGTTCCTTAAATAAATACAGGTGTTTTCACTGTAGCATATTTCCACTCCATAAATATGCTCATGCGATTTTTTTATGTATGATATACAGGGTGAGTCTTAAATAAGTGCAAATATTTTCAGGGGTAGCATAATTCAGAAAAATGATGTGTTTTTTTTCGCAAAAAAAATCGAAAACTTGGAATTTTTTTGAAATAAAAGGAAATTTTTTTGGTTTTTAGTTAAAAACATAATTTCTTAATAATATGGCAACATAGGGAGTAGATTAAATTTACAACAATGAAAGCCCAGAAAAGATCCAGTGGTTCCCATCCCCATCTTTTCATGGTATTTTGACGACGTTTCGTGCACTACGAAACCCCTTCATCAATGAATAAAATCAATAATCATCCGTTTTCGGTAAAAAAAGGTGATACTTTCAAAAAAATGTTATAAAATTTGAATAAAACTGTAAAACTCAATAATGACAATTTTATTACGAATAAAAAGATAAATCTCTTTCTATGTACAAAATATAACCAAAAAATTGTTTTTTCTACTAAAAGGGCATTGTACTTTCTCAAAATCGAATTTTAAAGTATACAACAACAGGTTCAAACTAATTAAGAACTTGATGATCGGATGGAGCATATAGTAAGGGTAATTAAATGAGAAATGCATCGTATCCGGGAAACCAGTGTCTCGTTAATTTTCCCTCTAAATATAGAACTTTAGCGATATTTCAACCTGAAAATCTATTTGAACTCTATTTTGACTTATTATCTAAAACTGTTGTTTTATTTTATGTAAATATATCGATATTATTTTTCCCGCGACTATATTTCTTTAACTAATGTTATTTTTTGACAAATTTTATGTCAATTTTTAGCGAATGACATCTGGAGATTGACCTCGCCAAAATTATTATCGATGGTCATTCCCCAGCTAACTTTGACGTCGTTTTTTTTTCGATTATACGGTACGTGCTAAGTCACTTTTTTTGCTTTCAATGGATGAAAACTTGGATGGACAATTTTGTTAAACCCAATGACCCCTATACCATATACCATATACCCCTCTATAAGGGGTATATGCTCGGGTATATGGATATAAAATAAATATATTCATTTTTCAAGTATTTTTACTGTTTGAAAAATAAAAAAAAATAAATATCATAATGGAAATATTCCAGTGGAGCAAGCATTTATAGAGTGGTGACATGCAATGCTATTACATTAATTTTTATCTTATCGCTTTTGCTATTTTTCTTTCAAAGTAATTACTTATGTTTCGCTTAGACAATAAAATATATTTCTGAAAAATTTTGATGGAAGCTCTAATGAAATCTATTAGAAAACATATAAATATTCTTATCAAAATCAATATACCGGGTATTACACATAAGAATGCACACTACAGACATCTCATAAACCAGAAGAAGAGAGACAAAGATGATTAAATTAAAGAAAAGTTACGTCTATACCGGGTGTTTTTCAAAAATGGCTCACCCCACCAACTTTTTATTTTTTTTTTCAGATGAAAAAAAAACGAGATTCGGTGTGTTATTCGGTTAGTATATGACATAAATTAGGATTGATTGATGTTTCTGTTTCACATGACCAGAATTTTTGATTTTTAAATGGCACCCTTCGCATTTTTTTAATTTATTTGAGAAAAAACTTACATTTGATTACATTCTGAATAGAATGACATATCATATGTCAACTTTTGCCGTTTTCACTTAAAGAAATAGTGGCTGTGTTCATTTCGACAGTTTGACTCGAAATACCAAGCATGGGCAAAAGATAGGAGATTTCCAACTTTTATCCAGTCAGAGGGTGGTGGTGGGAGAGGGGGGGGGGACTGCTTAAAACTCTTTGATTAAAAATTAGTGATAAAGAAACACAATATTCATTTTCCTATTTAAAAAAAAAATAAAAATTTATAGGGGTGAATTTTTTTTGAAAAACTCCCTGTATATTTTTTTTTAAAATAATGTAAATATAACTGCGTCATAATTTTATCAGCCGATATAAATACCAGAATTACTTGAATAATAATTTAAGTTTCAAAGGATATTTTTTTGTATAGTGAATAAAATAGGAAATAATAAAATTATTTATGCTGAATTTTAATATCCAATTTTGATAAAAGAATAATGTAATAAAGATGTAAATTAAGCAGAAGAAAAGTTGTTGCTCCTTGAAAATAAATAAAACAAAGATCATTAAAAAAACTGTTAACATTTTTAAACATTTCCTGATTTTTTTAACATGACAGGTTGTTTTTAAATCTATAATAAAAATATACTATTTATGCAAAATATAGGTAGGCTTAAATTCATTAAACTTACTATTTTTCTATAACAGTATTATTTTTGTTCTTTCAGGTGAAAATCAAGTAAAATTTCTATCAATTCCTCGAGGGTACTGTTCGAATTGCTGTCAGTTTGATACAGACAGGGATATACGATTTTTACTGTTCCAAAAAGGCAGTTCTGGCAATGGAGTACCTATAGTACCCTACGATGAACCAGGAGCCGCTAGAAGAGCCGGGGTAAACCCGTCGTGGAAAACTGTAATATTTATTCACGGATTTTCCGAAGTTTCACCTGGTCAGAGTGGTACAGCAATTGCCGAAGGTAAATATAATACACTGCTACAATACACTGCACCGTGACAGACAACAGAAAAAAATGATTGAAATGAACCAAAATCCAGGTACACAAACACAAATACCGCTATTGAAACACGTGAGTCAAATGTACGTAACCTACTTATTAAAGAATTCAAATATTCTTGAAACTCATCAAACAATTGCGCAACGCATCAAACACTATCATACATTGGCAACTCGTTGCGCAACAGCCTGCGTTGCGCAATTTGTTTGATAATGTATGGGCCGCTTTCTGTGCAACAGGACTGTTTGCGCAACGCGTTGTGTAGTGTATGTGTGTGTTGCGCTTCGTTGTGCAATATTTTAGTTCTTTCATCCAAATTCTTTGTTTTCTTTTTCGTTTTTTGGTATCTAGGGCATATACGATAATAATTGACGCAATGGCAATTGAGGACATGATTGTTTCTCAAACAATGCACAACTTTTAATAAAAAGTTTGATCAAAATTTTACTAAGTGCATGGGCGATGCAGTTGTGCAACGGAACGTTGCGCATCGCTTTGTTGCGCAACTTGTTTGATAGTGTATGGACCGCTGAATCAGTTGTGCAACGCAGCGTTGTACATCGCTTTGTTGCCCAATTTGTTTGACAATGTATGTGCCGCTGTAAAGTTTATTTTGTTATGTCTCTTATAGTTAGTTAATTCTAAGTGAATTTCATGATGGATTGGTTTACTTCACGTAGCGATATACAGGGTGTTCCGAACTGTATTCCGGAAACTTTGGCATCATATTCTGCAGATAAAAATAAGTAAAAAAGTTAGTATGTTCTAAAATTCTTAGTTTCGGAAATACAAGGTGTAGAATTGTCATTTTTATTTCGGGGGTTTTTTTCCAAACAATTTCTGAAGTAACGTCAATATTTGGATGAAAAATGGTGTCTGGGAGTATTTTGATATAAGAAGAATTTGATTTTGATATCAATATGACTCCTATTTGTAGGGGGTGCCACCTACATGTGTTTTAACTTTTTGAAGAGTAATAACTTTTCATACATTCAGTCGTACCTGTATAAAACTACTGAGTGAAAAAAAAATTTTTGTGACTTTTTGCATAAAAATGCCTCTTGGTAAAAATCGCTACGAGTAACCATTCCCAAGATATTTAGTATGGAAATAGTCAATACATATCATTATTGAAAAAATAAACCCGCGTTGAGCGTTGAGTAGATAGTTATTTGACTGAAATAATAAATTTGAGAAATTTTTATTTTTTTAAATTAATCATCAATTTTTCTGTAAAAAATGATGATAAAACAGTTTAGTTTCCGTTGAATTTTTCGCACAAAACATTTCAAATTTACGATTTCACTCTAATAACTATTTAGCCAACATGTTTAATTTATGTCAATGACAGGTATTGATAATTTCGATTCCAAATATCTCGAGAACCATCACTCGTAGCGTTTTTTACTAAGAGACCTTTTTTACGTAAGAATTATCGTAAACGTATATTCTTTTACTCGGTAGTTTTATACAGGTACGGACAAAAAGTTATTACCCGTCAAACCAGTTAAGAAATATGTATGTGGCGCTCTACAAGTAGGAGTTATATTGACATCAAAATCAAATTTTTCGTGTTACAAAACTCCCAGACACCAATTTTCATCGAAATATTGACGTTATTTCAGAAATTATTTGAAAAAAATCGAAATAAAAATGAAACTTCTACACCCTGTATCTCCGAAACTAAGCATTTTAGGACATAGGTTTATTCGAACTTTTTTACTTATTTTTATCTGCAGAATATGCCGGAATACAATTCGGACCACCCTGTATTTTAGTCATTTACTAACATAAATTATTCCTTTATTTATCTCGATATTTGATCGTTGATCTACCGCACGCGACACAACTAACATTTTTACAGTTTTTTCTGGAATTCGCAATAATGTCACTGTTAATTTAAGTTCTGACACAATATCCTTCTAAATTCCCTACCTCTAAACAAAATTAACTGAATAAATAACAAATAACCTACAAAATATCATCATTGTTTAGATAGACACTATCGAAATGTTCTCTGATGCTAAAAAATGAAAAATAACTCCTATACATAATTTTTCTCAATGTTTTTCAGCTTATTTGAACAGACCCGAATACTACAACGTCATAATTTTGGACTGGAGCGAACTATCGGCGTTTCCATGGTACAGAACGTCAGTTCAAAACGTCAAAGTGGTGGGGGAAGTACTGAAAAGGTTTATCATGACGTTCCACGAGAGCGGGGAAATCCCCAGGGAAAACCTGCACGTTATCGGGTTCAGTTTGGGCTGTCATATTGCATCAATGGCGGGAAAAAGTCTCCCTGAAAATGTGAGAATTCCTAGGATAACGGCTTTGGATCCGGCGTATCCAGAATTTCCTATACAAGGTAATATCATTAGTAATTTGACTTCTTTAACTAATTTAAGTTTAATATTTCAAATAAATATTGTAAAACTTGAGAAAAAAAACTAAATTGTACAGGATTGAAAAAAGCATTTTTTTACGAATAATTTGATACCACACACTTTGTATTTCGAGTCAAATTTTCGATATGAACCGCATGTTATAATTTTAAATAAACTGTATGCGAAAATGTCAAAAGTTGACATATGATATGTCATTCTATTCAGAGTGACATTTTCTATCGAATAAAGTAAAAACATACCGATGGTGCCAGTTAAAAATCGAAAGTTGTAGTCATTTCCGGTGAAACAGAACGTGACCAAAAACAATTGAATACGTCAATCGGTCCTAATTTATGTTAAATACTAACATAGCAATTCTTGTTTTTCTATCTGAAAAAATAAAAAAGTTATATGGGTGAGCCACTTTTGAGACGCACCCGGTATAGTGTCTATATAACCTTTGGACGGATAACTTTTTGGACCTTTTGAGGGATAAATCTTGGGAACGGACATTGCTTCTGAATAACGGACTTTTCGTCCTGGTCAGTTTAATTATGAACAAAAATCTTTGAGAAATTTAAAATAAACTGTAATTTCTTAATTTAAGTAAATTTTTTTCGCTCTAAACAATGTCTTGTGTCTGTTCAAATTTATCCTGTCGAACCCAAGCCCTCAGCTATTCCAAATTTGTCCCTAACGATCCGAAACTTTGTCCGAAATATCCGGAATATTCTCTAATTTGAATGTCGAATCGATTGGGGAATGCATAACAAGGCTGTTCCAGATTGGAGGGTTTGTTACAGGGCATTTCCTGAGTACCGTGAATAGTAAAGTTAACTAAATGGCTCAGGGGTAAAAATATATTTTGAATTTCGATTTATCTGACATAATATGATATGATTATACAGGGTGACCCCAAAAAAAGTTACACATCAAAGTTGTGTTTTTTCTAATGGAACTCTCTATATATTAATCGATTTTCGGATTCTAAGAAAAAAATAAAGGTGAGTTTTATTAAAGAAACATATACCAAAAATCTAAGGATTTTGACATATTTCACATTTTGTGAAAATGAAGAGTAAATTTTAAATTTCGATAACGGCTACCTAAATTTTAGTTCACCTTGTATAGCCTGATATCTAATTACAGTAACCATTGTATGTTAAACCAAATTGAAATTTGACCCGTAAAGTTGTACAGGGTGAGACAAAATTAATATGGAACATTAGTCACTTTTAAAAGCAAGTTATTCTTTTATTTTAAATGGAACACCCAGTATATTTTGCCGGTTTTCAACGGAATTTAGATATATAATTAAGATATATCACATAGCCATCAAGATTTTTCAAATAATAAAGATCTTGACGCAAAATCATAAAAATTAATATATCTAGGAAAATCTTTGTCTGAGGGGTAGGCAACCTTAATATTTTGAAGATATATAAATTCCCCGTTGAAAACCGGAAAAATATACTAGATGTTCTATTTAACACAGTACAATAGTTAATTTAACTACATATTAGGCTAGACCAGATAAATTCCAATTTAGGTAGTTTTGTTCTGTAAAAATTGTTCTTTATTTCTAGAAAATATACAAAAAAACCCTATATTTTAGTCATATACTTCTCTTATAAAACTCACCTTTATTTTTCTCACAGAATCCGAAAATCCATTAATATATAGGGTGTTCCATTACAAAAAACACAACTTTGATATGTAACTCTTTTTGGGGACACCCTCTAGAACTCTCTATATAAGAATTGATTAAGAAAAAAGTAGATAGTAGAAAATGTAGAAAATACGATGTAAATCAATTTTAAGAAATTCGTTTAACCATTAAGCAAGATAAAAAAGAGGCACTTGGAAACCGAGTTTCTCTAATTGAAAGGGCTTAATAGTAATTAGTTGGAAAACTGAATCTAGAGGAAATAAAACGACTGCGAGATAGACGAGCAGCCGTGGGTCGATTTAAAGTTGAAAAGCGGACCGAAATAGGAATTGAAATGGAAAAGGGAGGAAATTGGTTCGCTGAAAGGCCGACGGCCTAAAATCGAATAAAACGTCGACGGGTTTCGGATCCAATCGATGCCGTCATAACTTCCTACTCGCTCTGGACATGACTAATGCTTACTGCCGATAAAAACGGACGATACCAATCAGCAATTTCTATTCTGAATCATCACAAAAACGCTCGTGGCTCTTTTTTATTTGCTCAGAATGTAGACAGACGTCATTAGAGCATTTTTAAAAAAAGGGAACGCAGTAAAGAAGAAAAAAGGGTGGTGCATCATCGTTGGAAACATAGGAACTCCCATGCAAATTTTGAATTCTCCAAATATTTTTTTTTATTTACAACCACATAGTATGCAATACTGGCATTACTGACTTTTCATTTCTTCCCTCTTCCATTTCCTTCACCCATTTCCCTCACTCGGTTTTTCTTATTTCTCGCCTCATTTAATTAAGCAAAATATTCTTGTAATATCTTTATTAAATACTTTCTAACATCAACAAAAATAAACAAGAAGATTAACAATAATAATTGAAGATTTTAATACATTTATTTGTTGAAGGTAAAAATGCTAGACTTCTTTGGCTTAAAACCTACATTCTGGCGTTTTCAAAAAGCGACGAGTTTCTGATATTTTGATATGTCTAGTAGCGTTTTTTATAAACATTACCACTGCGAACGGCAGCTTTTCATCGGAGAGCAGTCGTGGGTATGGTATTTCACTAGAGAGAAAACTAATCAATAACAATAAACAAAAAAATATAATAAGAAAGAAAACACAGTTGTTTATTACTTAAAACTAATGACTATATTTATTCATGATGGACTGTGATGGTAAATAGCATTGTACAATTTTAATAATTATTATAGGTGGTTATATGTCAACGAAAGTGGTGTAAAGAATTGTACCAAATATCTATGAAAACAACTATGATAAAATACAAGACATGTAAAGTTTAAGAGAATATATGAAATGTAGCATTACTTTAATTAATTTGATATATTTTATATGACGTTAGTGCAATAATAATATCTATAAAAAAGTAATACTTTTACAAGACGTAATGTAATGAAACCTAAAATCTAAATCATATTGTAACTACTAAATCGATATAAATGTTCTAATTAATAAGTTAATAATCTAACCACTAAATATAGTCTGTACGATATCGTTTAAAATGTACGTTAAGTTAAGACTGAAAATCGACTGAAAACCAGAACCTAAATCTACACTTAGCTGTTCTTGAGGCAATCCTGTTTCAAAGAGTAGCAGCGTGAGGTGGGCTCATATCTCTGTACTGTCTGTCGGCGATCCTGTTGGCCAAAACAACAAAAGAGGCCAGAATGTGGACACCATGAATCAATACAGCCGTAGCTACTGACTAGGCTTAGAAATGGGAGCGAAGCAGCATGGGGCTTACGCTGTATCCATACTGTGGCAATATGGGGACATTACCCGTACCTTGGAACACTACTAGGACCTTGGATAATGTCCGTAACTTGGACCATAACCTTGGACCATAACCTTGGACCATAACCTTGGACCATAACCTTGGACACAGTCCGTCCATAAGATAACGGTACAGGAAAACACTACCCATACCTTGGACACAGTCCGTCCATAAGACAATGTACGTCCATAAGATAATGTACGTCCATAAGATAATGGTACAGGGGAACACTACCCGTACCTTGGATAATGCCTGTACCTTGGACAATGTAACGTCCATAAGATAATGTACGTCCATAAGACCCTAAAAATACGAAACTCTTGTTTAAAACCAAACAAGGTCTAATAAACAAAATAAACCTACCTCGAAATACTTCCGAGGGCACAATAATAAACAAAGAAACTGTCCTTTCTTCCATGTAACATTCTGGAGGACAAAAGCAAAAGAACACCAATGTGCCAGCCGAGGTGCCAGCAAAATACAAATACGAGTTAAGGTGGGTCAATCCAAAACTCTACCCTAAAAATATTCAATAATAATAACGAATCTAATAAAGATAATATCTCATCTTTACCTGTTGCTTCGAAATGGCAGCTGATTCAGATTTTGCAGCAAGATTTAAATTATTACCATTTCTAAAAGCCGGGTGAACAAAAGTGAGGTTAAGCGCGGAGAGTCGCCTTGACATATAACAAGGATCTTGACAGCGCGCGCCTCCACAGAACAGTGAAACGATAGCAGGGTTGGCGACTAGGGAACGTAAAAATTACGCCAAGCGTGCCAAATAAATTATCAGGCCTGAACGATACGGAATCCGGTGATGATAGGCCAGACATCATATATTATATATAAAAAAGACATGTAACGAACTAAAAACGTTACAGTCTTTTCGTTTAATTCTAGCATTGCCCGTATCATTCGGTACGTAGCCCAAAGAGTAGATGGCTTTTTCTGCCTGGCCATGTCGCTAAAATATGCCATCAAGACTGTCTCCGAAGCAATATTCTTAGCATTTCTTTCGGCACACCATTTTTCGTATACTTTCAATGATATTTCATATCGCCCCCTACTTTTCTCTGGAAGTAAACTGGCTTCTGCTTTTTTTGCAGCTTCTGTAAGTACTGGTGGAGTACCAATATTAAAGTAGTCTTCATTATCAGAACTTTCCGACAACATTCTGACTTTCTATGTTATATAAATTGGAAAAAGCGAACGAGAAATTCAAAACTGTCACTTAGTTGTTTGTTATGCTGTTGAAGGTTTGCGCCATAACAACCACTGGTACCGGTAACTATAGATATGGAAATGCCAAAAGAGAAAACGACAAATTTTCGCATATTTTTTTTTTTCAAAATAAAATACTGTCCCTATTTTTTAATTAATGATGTGGTTGTAAATAAAATACTACTACTGCCATTACTCGCTGACGAGTATTTGACACGCATCAGAAGATGGTCACGCAAGGCGTTTTCTTTCATGAGCTTTTCTGTGACTGAAAAGCCCGATACGTGATGTTATCTGTCTACCACACTCCAGACATTTAAAAATCTCATTGCTTTGTTGCCTCTTTACTTTTTGGTTGTCGCTCTTATCTGACTTTACAATTCTTCTCCATTTCGTTCTATTGTGAGCTGCCTCTTCCCACTCATTCTGCTTGTTAATTCCCTTTAAGTTTTCGTGGAAAATATCCTTGAACCTTTTGAGTTGTCCACCCTTACCGTCTCCTCTTACCGTCTACGCAAGCTCACCGTAAAGCAGAGATTTTGGTATGCGGTTTTCTTGCATTCTGCATACGTGCCCATCTTAAGCGGGACTTTGTAATCATGACTTCAATACTCTCGCAGTTAGCTTTTTCAAGGACCGATACGTTTGAGACATGATGGAACCATTTTATTCTTAAGAGTTGTCTAAGATGTCTCTGGTGCAACTTGTTTAATGCGTTCATGTGTCGGCGGTACGGCACCCAGGTTTCGCTTCCATATAACATGGTGGGAATTATTATCGCTCGGTACACCGCAAGTTTTGTTTTTGTGCTCAAGTCACGATTGTAGAAAACCCTGTCTTTTAATTTCCAGAATGCTCTTAGGCGCAGCTCATCCTGTGCTGAATTTCAGAGTCGATATTGGCCTTTTCCGAAATCAAACTGCCGAGGTAATTGAATTCCGCTACATATTCCAACAGCTCATCTCCGATTTTTATAGCATTGTTGTGATCTTCCGGGGGAGTGCACATGATTTTAGTTTTATCGATATTCAGCTTAAGTCCCAAGGCCTCGTATGCCCATGTATATGTGTTCAACATTTCTTGCAATTGCTGTAACGTATTTGCAACTAGAGCACAGTCATCAGCGTATTGAAGTTCTGTGATGAATTTTGTACGTGTTTTTGCCCTGAGTCTTTTTATGTTGAACAGACCGCCGGTCTGTCAATAAAATAGTATACAGACCTCGGAGGAAAGTTTTCATTATTGTCTGTTCATTATTGTCAACTGATTGGATATCAAACAGGGAGACCAGGAAAAATAATTATTTCCGTTTGTTATAAAATTACTCAAATCTTTTTTATTTTAAATTCAACCCTATGAATATTATTTAAAAAATCAAAACCCAAATAAAATTGCTTTTCAACGATATATTATGTTCCTATACCTAAACCTTTTGGTTTCTACAGTAAAGCCATTTAAAAGATAATAATTCTATTATAATTGCTTCGTTTAAAGAAAATCGTCGCAATGACAAATATACAAACTTTATAAGTATGTAAGTATCAATAGAGTTACATGCTAAACTTCTAAAATTGTCATGGGTAACGAAATTCTTGAAATGAAACTATAATAATAATATTATTAATTTTTAAATAGCTCTACTTAAGAAACCGGAAGGTTTAGGTATAGGAACATGATATATCGTTGAAAAGCAATTTTATTAGTCTTTTGATTTTTTGAGTAATATTCATAGGGTTGAATTTAAAATAACAAAGATTTGTGTAAATTTATAACAAACGGAAATAAATAATATTTTTGCTCTCACTGTGTAATATGCAATAATTGGTTTATTTGGACAGATCGAATATATCGACTTTCGTTAACTTTTAACCCAAATTTCAACTTCAAAAATGTTAAATTCATGATTTTACCAATGCTTATTCACGATCATGTGTAGACAATTTTACATATCATGTTTTATTTTTTATCTTAAAAACTATTAGAGGTTAGTTGGTTATGCATATAGGTTAGTATAATAGAAAAATTATGAGATATAAAAGTATTTTCCAAAAATGTAATAATATACTGGATTTTCCATTTAAAATAAGAAAGATACTATCACTTTCCAATGATGCGGCAACACTGTTATGCTGAAAATATTTTCGAAAGACGGAGCAGGTGCCTTTATGTAAAAATTCAAATTTTCAAAATCATCGGTTCTCCATAAACGCGCCATCACCGTGAATCACCCTATATCAAAATTAAATATAAAATGACTTTCATATCTTGAACTATTATGTAAAATATTGGTGTACCAAATAATTATCAATATACAAATAAAAAAAATCATAAACTGGGATACTTCTTTGTTAGACGAAAAGTTATGAATCAGAAAAAAAAAATAATTTTTTTTAGATCGAACCAAAAGATTGGCAAACACTGACGCTGATTACATTGACGTTATCCATACAGACAGTGGCATTTTCGGTTTTCCTGTTTCCATTGGGCATTCAGATTTCTATCCTAATGGAGGAAGAGCACTTCAACCGGGCTGTCAACCAAGTTATTTAGCTAGTCAACAGATTGTAGAGCAAGTTGGTAAGCATCACTTTTATCATGACATTATATTCTTTTAAATTCTCAGTTGAAACTGTTATAGTTATTTATAAAAAACAGCTTAAAATAACAGCTTCAAAATAACAGGTTTCTTTATTTTACTGCTAAATACCTGAAAGAGTATGAGGCGGTCACCGCCAGGCGTATTAACGCAGTTGCAAGTTGCGACAATGCCGTGGTCGGTGGTAGTATTTCCAGGATGTCAAAACATTTCTAAATGTCGATTGTTATCTAAAATACCTCTCTAAAAACGGTGGTTGTTTACAAATAAGCGCTGTTTACAAATTGCGATATAAAAAAAGCCAAAATTCCGCCACTCGTCTATACCTACACATTGCGATCTACCTACGCCCTGCCCCTCGATCCGCGTAGATCCTGAATTGCGTAGCAGTGTACAGGGTGCATCTCACTCGACGGGCGAGAAGCTCTTACTTATGATTTTACCATTTGCGGTCACAAAATAGCAATATAAGAAAATGTGTAGTATATTCTTCATAAGTAAACCAACTACACACTAGAGTTCGAATTAATTTCACACTTAAACTAGCGTGTACCCGCGACTTCGTTCGCGTCGAATTAATAATTTCTAATGGTGATGATAAAGCAAAACAAGGATTTCCATTAACATACAAACTGGATAAAATTTTCTCACATTGCCAAAAATAAGCTTTAAACGTCGAGCAGTTTAAGCAGAATCGTGGTTAATCAATTACTCAACTTTTGGAACACCCTGTATGATTTTTAAAAAATTTCAAAATATGTAAAAAAACAAAATAAATTATGCGTGTCCAGGCGTTTTCCCGAAAGACTAACCGTTTTTTAAATAACAAATCTTGTAATATTTGAGGGGCGTTTTCACCCTGTTGGAATTTGAGATTCGAGAAACCCCTCCTTATCGAACCTCAACCCCACAGTCAATCCGTTTGCCAAAAATCAACTTTAAACGTCAAGCAGTTTAAGCAGAATAGTGATTACTCAATGGTCATATTTTATAAAACACCCTGTATATATTTTTAAAAAATCTTAAAATATGTAAAACAACATAATAAAACATACGTGTTTTAAGAGTTTTTCCGAGAAACTCACCGGTTTTTAAATAAAAAAAATATTCTAATATTTGAGGGTAGTTTCACCCCCTTAGAATTCGAGTTTCGAAAAATCCCTTCTTATCGAACCTCTACACCCTAAAGTCAATCCGTTTTCCAAAAATCAGCTTTTTACGTCATACGTCAAGGGCTTTAAGCAGGATCATGATTAATCAATGACCAGATTTTTCAAAACACCCTGTATACATTTTTAAAAAATCTTAAAATATATATATAATATAAATAAATACCTAAATATTGAAACTTAATAAGTAAGTACTGAAACATACAGCGCCATAATATCTCGACCTCCGCCCGTTATGCTCGTAACAGGTTGAAAAACAATGTATCTAAAACCACTGATGCGTTATTCTCCAACCTGTTTCGAACCTCCATCGACAATCGACCGATGCAGCAGCGTTCCTTTCCCACTCCTGTTATCTCGACCGACAGGCGTTATGCCCGCAACTGTTTCAAAAAATCTGCTTCTTTTATATCCGATTATTTTTAAGCTGTTGCAAACCCAATACGGCCATCGACGGCGTCGACCGAAGCAGCTACGTTCGCCGTAGCGCATTCCCCACTCCGTTGTCCGTTGTTTCGCCGCCTGTATCGATGGTTGACGAAATAACATGTTTTCGATCCATACTCCATACTAGTTGTTTTTTGGAATTGCTTCGAGCAGCATAGAATTTCGTGGCGGTGCAGAGCGCCGACTTCCTTTTTCGTTTCACGAGCAGCCGATCTCTACGTGCCGTTATTTTATATCTGTTATTTTTTAGAAGTAGTAACGGTTGCGTTATGTTATTTATAAATAATTGTTATAAAATAACAGATAGTTAAATAACAACCCATCACTATCACAAACCAAAAACCTAATTTTCTGACGCCTGAACCGTGTTGAGTTATAAATTGCATTGCTGTCTTTTGTCGATTTTAAAGATATATCGTCATAAATGAGATCATTTGTATTAAAACATCATATTGTTTTGTAGTTGCTTGCAGTCATGTAAGAGCATGGAAACTCTACGTAGAATCTGTGATAAATCCGTCAGCCTTTCCTGTAACTCGCTGTCAAAAATGGGGAGGAGAACACAAACAGTGTAACTTCACAGTGGATGGATACATGGGATTTGCTAGTAACCCGTAAGTAACAAGTCCTATGTCAACTTTTATCTCTTTTGTTCCGAAGCACTACACGCTATATAAAAAAGTGTTTTAAGGTTTCAATAAAAAGTGTTATTTCTTTTCTAGAAATATGAACGGAAAGTACTACCTTAGGACTGGATTTAAGTATCCTTACGGATTGACAGTTGCAGAACAACAGATTTAGAAAAAAAAACAAGAAAAATTGCAGTTTGAAGACAGTATTACAATGAATTCAAAAAGGATTTTTTATTCTACTACAAAAGCTCTCTATATTTATTAAAATAGTTTTTTTTCTGTAGTTTTTAGCATTAACTGATTATTAGAACATGAAAGTTAAAATACTTTCTATGTTAAAGTCTGTCCAATGATAAAATACACGACAGTGACAGTTGTTATTTTAATTCACTGGTAAATTGTATTTTCTGTCATTTTTTGGATGATTTCTGTAGAAATCATCCCTGACTCGTTGGACAGAGTTTAGTTTAGTTTATATGAACAATGATGTGATATTTGGTTTAATGAATGCCATATGCCATAACTTTAGGTATTATAGTATTTTTGGAAGCCTATCAGCTTATAAATAAACCTTAAAATATATCAAATTGACCTTTATTTATCCTTTAAAACTGAAATAATTAGATTTATACGTTTATTTTTTATTAAAAATGTTTTTCGTTAATCAATAACCAATCTGCGCCACTAATTTATTTGATCACTATAGCACACTATAGTAAATCTTCTCGGACCACTGATTTAACGACTGCAGGGATCTGTAAACTCCAGGGAAAAACTCGGAAACTGTCCAATAATACAATATATCGATAGCGGTGTGTAGGGATGTCTAAAATTATCGATACCGATATCGATAAAAGTGTTATAGTTAGGAAGTATAATTGTAAAAATTCTAAAAATAAAAATAAAAAAGTAAATATTTTGATGTCTTCAGAAAGTCTAACTTGTATTATAATTTATTATTCGAGTTAAAAAAAACTTTTTAGATCAGTTCAACTACGGTAGTGAGCTTAGTTTTAATCACCGGTTTTGCTAATAGGGCATAATTCGGGTACAACGATTTTTTTAAAGGTTTGCATAATTATAATTTTAGAAGATGTTCATAACAAATTTAATCACTAGTAGATTAAAAAAAGTATACCATAAATATTGCAAATTATATTTATCCTCTCATAGTATATTATGTCTATAGTCTGTCCAACGAGAAGATCCTTGACAGTGATAGATGTGTCTGTCATTTTAATTTCAAAGTAGTTTATTTTATTTTACAAAGAAATAAGTTGGTACAACTGAAACGCATAGCAGGAAATATTTAAAATTTGATTGACAAGATGACAAGTGATTACTTCAAAATTGTATAAAACTGAAAAAATGTAATCGAGTTATTTTATTTAATAAAAACGGTATGTGTTAATACAAAACAAACAAGAACAAGGCACTACATACCAAAAAAATATAAAAAATAACTATTATTTACTTTCAAGCTTTATGAAACTACCCGCATTTATGATTATATTTATCAATATAACTTATGTACAAATACAAATTTGTAATATTCCACAGGTATAAATAAAACAACATAGGTAAATACAACAACTATTTTATTAATAATAACACCTACCAAATTTTATACCTTAAAGGTGGATTAATTACCTTTAATCTTAATTTTTTTAAACCAGTACCTTTTGACATTATTTTTCTGCACCAGTACTAAAATCCATTATTTACCTATCGTGTGATGTCGATATTTTACAGCTACTCCAGTTTTTAGTATGTGTTTAGTTTGATCCTTATATACGAAATGCACTTATCTACGACGAAATGGTATACAAACTTTATCGATGGCAACTTCATTGGTGTATAAGACTTTCTGCCTGGGCAGCGTGTATTAACCATAAACTGTGCTCTGGGCCTACAGTTAATTTTCACTCGATTTTTCCTCCACTTGACTTCAAAAGACACAAAACACACGTAATAATACGAATCAAAATGCATCATCTTTCAAAATGCAGGGTATTTAACAAAAGTTGACACAAAATTATAACCAATAATTTGGCAAGACTTTGACAAGCGTCAAAAATGACAAAAATCTAAAGGCGAGTTCATACGCATCGGCGTCCGTTTGTCGTTCATCGTTCCGTCAAACCAATAAAATTGAAATACGATCTGTCATTTTTTAAATAAACCAATAAAACTGGTTAAAAACAAGAAGACACGACGTATGACGGATTTATATTTAAACCCATCCATAGATAACTTAAAAATTATTAGAAACTTTTTTTAGTAAAATAAATAGATTGGTATGGGACGTCATCTGCTTTTCTTCTGTCATCGTCTGTCGAAATCTTACCTGAGAAAAAAAACAGAGTATATTTCATTTTTTGATTATGTAACGAGCGCTTTGTTTACTCACTTGTTTCGTCCAGCTGCTTGAAAACATTTTTGCTTTTGATCAAATCGGTCTGAGAAACTATGAAGCTATAAAATGTGGTTTCGGGAGAATTGAATATCCGGAAAAGTTAAGTTATTGAATGATATTGCACCCAACAACGCCCTAATTACCCTCTCCTATACGCGTTAACATTTTTTCGGCAATTTTATTAACATTTGAAATTGTCACAACACAATACAACGCCTAGTTCGAATTCTTTTTCACTTATTTTTTACTGCCTGAAACAGCGTCGCAATAACTGCACTAAGTGCACTAGCAAAAAGACTAATATACTTAAATATTATGACAAAACCACGATTTGAATATTATTTTAATGCGATCAACATGACGACTATGTGAAATAGGTACTGATAATTTCTGATTTCGGCCGTTGAAGCGCTGCGGTCGGAATTTGTTGAAATCAACTGAAATGCACCAAGCCTATAAACACATCCAAAGGATATAGGTATCGATATTTTTTTCTGATAACGCCCATTCCTAGTTTTTAGTTCAAAATTAGAAAGCACGAAAGCACCCTAAAAGGTGGAATTGGTTGATTTATTTTCGCACAAATATGGCCAATTTAATTGGATCGAAGGTCTTGAATAGAGGTGGGAATTGGATTTTTATTGAAAATCGATAGTTTTCAGTATAATTTCTTCGTTTCTTTTTTAAAGACTTGACGATATTTTTAGAAAGACTTAATGATGTAATAAATTCCATACTAATAACAATATTTCTCATGTCACGTAAATCATTAAAAACACATTTTAATTCCAAGTAAAGGATAATTCTCACTATACCTTCAATATCAGCCCCTTCCGTTTACATAAAATATTATATCATGTAAATGAATAGGACAATGCACACTATCCGTTCCGTTTCCCTTCCGTTCCATATCCTTTCCGTCCATACATTTTTTTGGCGGACGGCTTGAAGCGTATCGGAAACAGCGTTTTCAAGTTCTTACATTTGTACCAGCTCTGTTAAAATTTTGCTGATGTTTATTCATTCTTTCACCTCTTAATTAAATCTATTACAATTTTCAAAAGATACAAATTTTTAAAATAAAACTTTCGTAATGATATAAATTGTACAGGGTGAGTCAACGATAGAGTAAAGTCCATTATCTCATTTGTTTCAAGGTTTACCAAAAAATGTTTAATATAAAAGTTATAGGGATGGTTAAGATACATATTTTATAATTATTATAGAGTATACAAGGTGCTTCAAAAAAGTGTGGCGGCTATAACATATGTTTTATGCTATTTTTATTTTATTTTATATTTTTTTTTTTTATGTTGCAAAAAAAATCGTTAGTATAATATTGAATATCAAAATTAATAGTTTTTGTAAAATTCCATAGTTTTTTAGCCAAATGTTAGAATATACCTATGTTAGTAGTGTTTGTCATGTATTTGCAATTTGTCATCTATATCAATGAGTGGTAACAACTTATCAGTGGTGCTATTAACACGATGAATGCAACTAAATTACTACCCATATAACGCCATTCATTGCAGACATGATTTTTAATCCTTATCATTTATCTTTTTTAAACATTTGCTTTTCGGTTTTCGATCTTTTTCATGCGTTAATACCCCTGACCGTGCGACGCGCCTTAGTTCGAATTCTATTTCAATTTCTTTTTTTTTTACTACCAAAATTTGTAGGAGAGTTTTATAGAAGATGAGAAAAAAAGATATATGTAAAGATATTTTAGTTAAATGATACAGGGTGTTCAAAATATTTTCTGAATTTCAAGCTACTTAAAATTAAAAAATCTCAAATTTTTTAAATGGGACACCCTATATATTATCATTTTTTCTGATAGATTTTTACAAAACTCTTCAACTTTTATTAATTATGTCATATACTTATTTTAATACTTTTATTTGTGCGATCTTAAACCCATTTATCGAAGGTTTTGAATCATAGTTGTAATCTGCATTTACCCTATTAGAATCGATAGTTTATCATTATTAAGTTTCTCGTTTATTGGATTACTTGGCAACAAGTTGCTATTTAATTAGTTACAATTCCTGTAACTAAGTTTATTTCTAATTAACTTTAATCAGGAGGACTTCGCAGTATTAAAATTCCAAGTGTATTTCTATATTATGATAAATGACACTATAAGGATTTTTCGTCGAGCGAATAGCCACAGATTAAGCGTAATACTAGATTACCCTGGTGCTAAAGCACTATCTGATATAGAATTTTCTTCGACATACAGTAAAGATTTTCTCGTCCATACATTTCTGGCGGACGGATTGAAGGGTATTTAAAACAGCGTCTTTCATTTGATTTTGGGAAAGGTTAATAATTCTCTACGTTTAGTTGATATTATTTATATCATACAGCTACGGCTGGATTGAGACGAAACTAATAGCGTTGCATTTTTTGTATTATTTCCAAGGAAATCGCCCGCAGTTTGGGTAAGTTAATTTTGGTTTATTAATTATCACGTGGGACAAATTTTTATTGGGTTAATTTTAAATTAGGCACCTTGGTTTGGTTTTTCTTTTTACGCACCAACTTAATTCCACGAGGGTTTTCACGACTGGCTAGCGAGGTTCCTGTTCAAACCAATTGATCAGCTAAGGGGAAGCCACGTGGTTGGGCCTTCTGGTTGTGCGGCAGATCCTGGCGTAGGGGATTTTTTTTGGGACCCTTACGAATAAAAGCTAAGTACCAAACTCTTTATTAGCTCCCTCTCGTTCCTGCGTACTTAATAAATATTGTACCTATTTTTTTTTGTTGCTTCTGATTAGTTTTAGTAAAGACCATTTATTTAGTAATTTAAGTATCATTTATATCGTGGGTACCCCGTTTTTCATATATATTAAATTTTAGTAGAGTAGGTAATTTTTTTAGTCTAGGTTACACT